CAGTTTTTTTCTTAAATACTTCTTGACACCTCTTAAAGTCTCTAGAGGTGTGTTCTCAGACACATGTAAAAACAATCATTTCTCCAAGAAAAGCAACAGCAACTATTCACCAAAGCCACTTTGCTGAAGTGTAGTCATTTGCAGTTTACAGTGTCCCTTAAAAGGAGCCATTATCTAGCTTGGACTAAATGAGAAGCATTATCCTGACCTGCGATGCTGAGAGCCTTTCACGTCAGTCATTGCTGGATTAAATTGGTATGAAGGGTATGAAGGGACAGTGTAAACTATGCATTAGCCTGGGGTGTGGGTGGCCAGGGACCATTATTTAATGTTAAACTGCTTGAAAATGATTAAAAACTGAATGGAGGGACCGTGCCAGGGGACTCTCGGCACTATAATCAGCTTAATGAGATAAAATGGTTACAGTGCCTACAGTGTCTCTTGAATATCCAATCTAATCAAGTATAGGCCTTGGTCTAATATGTTTGAATATGCTTTGCAAATGATTTCATATTTGTGGCTGAACTTTTTAAATGCTGTTATAATTTAATATTTTTTTATATATTTATATATATATATATATTTTTTTTTTTATACATGATATATTTTTTTAGATTTAAATTTTTTGGAAAGTGTAACCAAAACATATTGCAGATATGTTCTCCTTGGGTCACTTCAGGAGTAATTGTAACTAGTAGCTAGCGTTTTTCATTTTAATATAGGGATACTTAGTAGATTTGTGCATTCTGTTTTGGCCAAATTGCGATTTTTCCAAATTTTGGGCGATTGGTGGATCATCCAAATTCCGTAACTCCGAATCACCATAGGACTGAATCACAAAAAAAACAAAATGGGCAACTGATAAGATGCTTTGCGTGTTTCATTATTTAGAGTTCTGCCTGCGCCTCCCAAAAAAGGGTGATTGATGGTTAGGTGACCGCCAATAAATAAAATAGATAAATAATAATTGAATAAATAATAAATAAGTAAACTAGAAGTCAGCCAGAACGAATGCTTCAAATTTGCAACGAAATGCTCAAAAGTAACCGAGCACTCGAAAAATGTATGTTGACCAAATGTGAACTGAATTTGCATTTTAAAATACTATTTATTCAGTCAGAATTTGGTCGATTACATTCCAACCATAATTAATTTAAGAAAAGATGGGAAATGCCAGATATAGATATATATACATATTAATATTGGGTATATATTGAGCAGTGCACCTATAGGTGCATTTTCAAGCCCTTTCGTTTTGTCGGCATCTTTCTTTCCCAAATTTTGTGGACGAAATTCAATCTAAACTGAAATGACGCATTGATGAAATTCAGTCCAACTGAACCAAAACTTTCCACTGTACACGTCTAATACTAAGGTCAGTAATTACTATTGAGAACACGGCAGGTACAGCACTTGCAGGAAACTGTATTATAGCATTTACACTAATTCTAAGAGGGAACCAAATATTTATCCCACCACCATGAATGGAAGATTTGATAAAGAAATGATATAAAAGGGGAGAACAAGAAAAGTGTAATATTTTTCTTTATATATACCTATAGATATCTCCATTAAGGGATAATCAGTCAGACACATTGATGGGAGAGGAAACTGTCAGATATTGACGCACTGAGAACAGGTTGAATGCTTCCAGGAAGTCACAATACTTCCACAATACTTCCAGTAATACTACGAGGGAACTAACTCATTCCTCCATGTAATCAGAAACCTATATAATATTATTTCATATAATCAGCAGCAAGCGCGTTGATAGATAAGGTTATCTGTCTGTTTCCACTTTGAGACCATTGAGCAGAATTCCTTGAGATATGTACCCCTCTGTAGGTATCTGAATTATATATCTGATTTTTCAATGTCATACGATATCACATATATCAGACTGCTTTATGTGCATGTACGGAGAGAAAATTATGTAGTGATATATCTCACACAAGGCACTAGATTTAGATCAGCTATATAATTGGATTAATGGTTAGAGTTTCATTCTACGCGGCTGCTAGTCAGAATTCAAAGAATCAGCAGTTTTTGGTAACTTTATCAGATACGATTCCACGAAACCTATCACTATGGATATTTCAAAATATTTGTTCAATAAAACACAGCTTTTATGAAACAAACATTTGATAAGTAATGCAACGTGATTAAAAAGGGTGTAATGTTAATATCCCCCATTCTAAATAAGTGAGCACATATTTAATCTCTATATCTCTTTTCTGATAGTTCATACATTATGGAAGAATAGACATTTTGCCATTCCTGCTGTTACTGACAAATACACCAAAGAGATGAATTTATGATGGAAGATACAGTAAAGAATGAAAAAGATTTAATTTTATAGTATATTTGTAATAATTTAGTGGTAATAGTAAATAAACCTTTGTCCCTCTTTGTCTACAGTTCCATTTGTATCCAGCTGAATAAATTCTATTTGGGCAGCATTCATAGCGAATACATACAAGCTAGAGCAAAGAATGAACTTCAAACCACTCAAGTGGTCATGTAATAATAATAACTGTGTAAAATGCTGTTAAATCACTTTAATACTGAAAGGTTGATTTCTACTGAGCCTTCAAGCTAAATAAAAGATAAAGTCATTTTTGTTTAACACTATTTTATCTCTACAGTCCTGTTGTGAATAATTCTTAATATCAAGACTACTGCTTCAATTATCTCATTTAGATTGTTAAAGTATATATATTTTTTTTAATCCAGGGATCTGTCAGTGCCCCAGATTTCTAGCCACCGGATTCTTTTGCAACAATGCTGAATAGGTACAAACACATTTCAAAATTCAACTCCTTGACAAGCTCTTCTCAAATCCTCATAAATAACCGAGTTGGTATATTCCAACAAAAAACTGCAAAAAACCCGAATTTAGGTTCAGTGCTAAAATACGACTGTGTTATGTACAATGTCAAAATTAGCCCTGAAATTGCTCCGTTTAGAAGCAAGTTAAATGAATTATTTGAAGAAACAATTAATTTGCCCTAAGTGAAAAGGTTTGTATACTCAAAAGATTAATCATTTTTATGATTTTCTGTGGCTTTATTAAACGTTTTGAAACCACTCTCACCGTTTACAACGTTCATAATAAATTGTAATTTTTGTAAAATAACAATTGTAAAAGTGAATATTGCTCTACCCAGCAATGACCTTGAACGAAACCCCCTGCAATATAAATATCAACTTACAATTTTATGATGTTACCTGGATTACTAGAATGCAAATACAATACTCAGACATAGGGAGAAAATATGGAAATGTTAATCCGTGCTTGTATCACTTGCCTGATTACAGAAACACAGTTCACCCCTCTTCGTGTCAAAACCGATATTTGGGATTTAAATACGTGTGTTAATTTATTCATCAAAGATCTCCACAGCAATAAGATTTATAGCAATGTGCAGTGTGTATAAGTGTATCACAGACCTCCACAGCAATAAAACTCACAGTAATGTGCATTGTGTATGAGTGTATCGCAGAGCTCCACAGCAATAAAACGTATAGTAATGTGCAGTGTGTATCACAGAGCTCCACAGCAATAAAACTCACAGTAATGTGCATTGTGTATAAGTATATCAGAGAGCTCCACAGCAATAAAACTCACAGTAATGTGCATTGTGTATGAGTTTATCACAGAGCTCCACAGCAATAAGATTTATAGCAATGTGCAGTGTGTATAAGTGTATCACAGACCTCCACAGCAATAAAACTCACAGTAATGTGCATTGTGTATGAGTATATCGCAGAGCTCCACAGCAATAAACCTTATGATAATATGCATTGTGTATAAGTATATCACAGAGCTCCACAGCAATAAACCTTATGATAATATGCATTGTGTATAAGTATATCACAGAGCTCCACAGCAATAAACCTTATGATAATATGCATTGTGTATAAGTATATCACAGAGCTCCACAGCAATAAAACTTATGATAATATGCATTGTGTATAAGTATATCACAGAGCTCCACAGCAATAAACCTTATGATAATATGCATTGTGTATAAGTATATCACAGAGCTCCACTGCAATAAAACTTATAGTAATGTGCAGTGTGTATAAGTGTATCACAATGCTCCACAGCAATAAAACTTATAGTAATGTGCAGTGTGTATCAGTGTATCACAGAGCTCCACAGCAATACAACTCACAGTAATGTGCAGTGTGTATCAGTATATCACAGAGCTCCACAGCAATAAAATTCACAGTAACGTACAGTGTGTAATAGTGTATCACAGAGCTCCACAGCAATAAAACTTATAATAATATGCAGTGTACAGGAATGTGTCACTGAATCCACAGCAATTCAACTCATCAGCAATAATGTACAGTGTGATTGTATGATTGTATGTGCAGGGGTGGGGAACCTCCGGCCCTTCAGATGTTTTGGACTATATCTCCACTGATGCGTTTCCAGCATTATGGCTGTAAGAGCATTATGGGAGATGTAGTACAAAACATCTTGAGTGCCGAAGGTACCCACCCCTGCATTGGTGTGACGGAGCATCAGCCCAGTCCGCTTCCGAGCTGCTTGCAGGGACCCTGGAATTCTTCAGCCCCAATCACCGAAGCTTGACTGAGGTCATTCTGGAGCTTTTCCACACGACCAGGCTGCAGCTCTCCATCCAGGCAGGTATCGTCCCCTCTGCCTATTCCTCTGCAGCTCTCCTTCCAGGCAGGTATTGTCCCCTCTCTCTATTCCTCTGCAGCTCTCCTTCCAGGCAGGTATCGTCCCCTCTCTCTATTCCTCTGCAGTTCTCCTTCTAGGCAGGTATCATCCCCACTGCCTATTCCTCTGCAACTCTCCTTCCAGGCAGGTATCGTCCCCTCTGCCTATTCCTCTGCAGTTCTCCTTCCAGGCAGATATCGTCCCCTCTCTCTATTCCTCTGCAGTTGTCCTTCTAGGCAGGTATCATCCCCACTGCCTATTCCTCTGCAGCTCTCCTTCCAGGCAGGTATCGTCCCCACTGCCTATTCCTCTGCAGCTCTCCTTCCAGGCAGGTATCGTCCCCTCTGCCTATTCCTCTGCAGCTCTCCTTCCAGGCAGGTATCGTCCCCTCTGCCTATTCCTCTGCAGCTTTCCTTCCAGGCAGGTATCGTCCCCTCTGCCTATTCCTCTGCAGCTCTCCTTCCAGGCAGGTATCGTCCCCTCTGCCTATTCCTCTGCAGCTCTCCTTCCAGGCAGGTATCGTCCCCACTGCCTATTCCTCTGCAGCTCTCCTTCCAGGCAGGTATCGTCCCCTCTGTCTATTCCTCTGCAGCCTTCCTTCCAGGCAGGTATTGTCCCCTCTGCCTATACCTCTGCAGCTCTCCTTCCAGGCAGGTATCGTCCTCTCTGTCTATTCCTCTGCAGCTCTCCTTCCAGGCAGGTATTGTCCCCTCTGCCTATTCCTCTGCAGCTCTCCTTCCAGGCAGGTATCGTCCCCTCTGCCTATTCCTCTGCAACTCTCCTTCCAGGCAGGTATCGTCCCCTCTGCCTATTCCTCTGCAATTGTCCTTCTAGGCAGGTATCATCCCCACTGCCTATTCCTCTGCAGTTGTCCTTCTAGGCAGGTATCATCCCCACTGCCTATTCCGCTGCAGCTCTCCTTCCAGGCAGGTATCGTCCCCTCTGCCTATTCCTCTGCAGTTGTCCTTCTAGGCAGGTATCATCCCCACTGCCTATTCCGCTGCAGCTCTCCTTCCAGGCAGGTATCGTCCCCTCTGTCTATTCCGCTGCAGCTCTCCTTCCAGGCAGGTATCATCCCCACTGCCTATTCCTCTGCAGCTCTCCTTCCAGGTAGGTATCGTCCCCACTGCCTATTCCGCTGCAGCTCTCCTTCCAGGCAGGTATCGTCCCCTCTGTCTATTCCTCTGCAGCCTTCCTTCCAGGCAGGTATTGTCCCCTCTGTCTATTCCTCTGCAGCCTTCCTTCCAGGCAGGTATCGTCCCCTCTGTCTATTCCTCTGCAGCCTTCCTTCCAGGCAGGTATCGTCCCCTCTGTCTATTCCTCTGCAGCCTTCCTTCCAGGCAGGTATCGTCCCCTCGGTCTATTCCTCTGCATCCTTCCATCCAGGCAGGTATCGTCTCCTCTGCAGCTCTCCTTCCAGGCAGGTATCGTCCCCTCTGCCTATTCCACAGCAGCTCTGCTTACAGTGATTGCTATTGCCTTTACAAAGGCACTTGCGGCTCTGAGCCCAAGCTCTCTTGATTTATACCAGGGCTAGAGAGATCGTACAGCCAGTCAACAGTTCTGAAGACCACACAGCACACCTAGTTCCAAATGGAACTAACATACAAAATGTTATTTGTTTCTTGGGACTAGACCATATGTTCATTACATATAGATTACTGTGACAACTCGATAAAAAACACAGTCAAATCACATTAGACAATATACAGGAATAAATAAATTAAATATTAACCCCATATAAAATCAGGTGTGTTTCTGCCCGAGGTGCCCGTATGGATGAGCCTCTACTGGATCAGAGTCTATTGAAAAACTGTGAGCTACTTCTTACTTTACATGCAGAGAGAGTTAAAGACATGTTTTAACTGATAGCCAAACATAGCATATCCACTTAGGTTTGCTATCCCACTGCAAATTACACTGTGTACAAGACACATCCATATATTAAGGAATTTTAGGTCTGGGCAGTATCATACAATGTCAGTGGCTGAGAGGGAACAGAAACCAGGAAGCAATTGTTTAACAATCTTTCTCTTGTGAAGTAGAATGTAAGTCCTAATGTATGACTCTGTGTCACTAACCTTACAATTAATGCTAAGAGCTTAATAGCTCTAATTGTTAAGGAATCTTTATTGTAATAGAAAGATTGTGTATGTTTGAAGATCCATTTCAGATTTATCTACAAAGTCGGGTACATTTATTTTGTTTGATTTCTGTGTCAGTTAGCATTTTTGTTGAAATGTGAAACATGCTTTACAATTAAAAGTGTGCAAATGGTTTATTTAACTGGAAATATATATATATTGAATGCTTAATTCTAACATATTGAGTACATTTATGTTAAAATGTGGTGAAGGTTGTGTTTGTTTAGAATTATTTCTTCATTTTTCTTGACTACCCACTAAATGTTGAGATGAATCAATATCTAAATAAGTTAAATAACTTCCCTTGGGGAAAAAAAATGTAGAGCAGCATTAAGGCAATTTAATTGCAATGTCACCTATAGCTGTTGTCTCAGTTAATGCAAAACAGATCAGTAGAAAACATTTTTCTACAATTGAATACACTCTACTGAACAAAACAAAATCATCTCATTACACACCAGGACAATAGACAACTTTCTTTCATAATTAAAAGATCACTCCTTATATTAAATAGAAAAAAAGTCAATATTTTGTACATATACCCCAATGAAAACATAGAAGCATTTAATTATGAATTTTCTCATTGGGAGTATATTAAAAACAATTTGCAAAAAACAACAGATATCTTGTCTGCAGCCTTTGCAAGCCCTCCTCTTCTAACCCCGCCCAGACTTTCTGTGGCTGTCCAATCACAGACTTCCCAATGCAGCTCAATGAGAAGTCTTTGCAAGGCAGATGCTCTGGGCAATTGCTGCCTCTTGAGTTTAGCTTCACTGAGCTAAACAAACCAGGAAGTAACAGGGGTGTAACCAAGTTAATTTATAAAAGTGACAATTTCCATTAAAATCTGCACTTTTTCAAAATGAAAAAATACAATACACTTTTCATATAGAAAGTGCTTAATCAAGTATCCCTGGGGCTTCAGTCAGCACAAAAATAATTAAGTTTAGTCAAATTGGGGGTTTACATTTTCTGGTGTCTTAAAATAAAGAACTGAACAATGAAAAACCCAGCTTGTAAGTTCAGACAAGATCTGTAACTATCTATGTTTTTTGCAATTTGCCTTGTATGTCATTTTTGTTTTTGTTTCATAACTATATTTTCTGATGTGCAAAAAGTAAAGATGCTTTCACATTTCTTGATTTTACCGGATACTATTACATTTATTTAATTTTTTAAACATTTTTCTTACAGCAAATGTTTAGGTAAAAACGAGAGATGTGCAAGCAGAATTTCCATTACGATTCATTTCAGTTTTTTTGTTTCTGGCAATAATTAAATATTTTTGGTTCTACCAAAGTTAGGTTGAATATTCGGTTTGAACCGAAAATAATATATTTTTCAATAATTTAAACGCATTTCGGTCACACATTGACTGCTATGGAAAATGAATGAGTCGAAAAAGTAGCAAACACAAACATGAATACAAATATACATATATTTAAGAATATGGGGAAAGAGGTGGTGTTCATTTTTCATTTTGGGGAGCTTGGTATTTACATGCCACAGAATGTGGAAGAATTGTAAATAATAAATCACAATTAATGTTTGTTAGTGTTACATTCGATTTATCATCCTCATATAAAGAGATTGATTGATACATGATCATCAAAGCCTTCCTTTCCAATAAGGGAGCCTATGAGGCTCAATGTGTTCAGTGCCGATACAAAAAGTTCTGAAATCGGCAAAAAGGGACCGATGCAGTTTGTTTCAAAGACATTCAGATGTATCTCTCAATATGTATGCAACAAAGAACAAAAATAAAAATGATAAATGTCATTGATTTAAAAAAAAAAATAAGCCTTCTAAGCAGTCTATCTATGTATGTCTTATCAAAGCATTCCATATTTTAAAATACCTTTTGATAATGTACACATAAAATATATACATGTGAGAACTACTAAAGAACCACTATGGGCATCCAGACTTATTCATATCTATGATGGGGACTTGATGCAGTGGTTCCTGCGTTTTAGTTCTCCAATGTAAAACTTTGCCAGTTTAGAGATACAGCAATGTTTTCATAGCAGGGTTAACACACCTCTACTGGCCACTAGAGGGTGCTTCCACTGCAACAACCAGGTTTGACTCGATTATGTGACTTTCAAAGTTGAATGTCATCAATTGCTGATCATAGCAAGCGTTTCTCATCCCCATTTCTTCTCTATGAGAAGCATGTGATTGGACGAGGAGATGGAAGATGTCAGCATGCTTGCTGACGAAGAAGAAGGTGGATCAGGTGATTGCAATGACTGTACTGCAGGAGCAATCTAAGTAGAAACATATTTATAAAAGTCTCCTTGGGATTCTTTCTACACACAGTAACCACATTGTCAGTGGGGCTCAACTCCCACCCTTGACCTTATCTCTTCCTCTTCCTTCCCCAGTTTAAAATTGTCCAATGATGACACAATGTGCTGGTCTATATATTTCCCAACCTCTTGCTAAATATTCCTGTGTTATGTATTATTTTGTTTTAGCATCCAATAAAAATTATACATTGAAATAAAACATATTGCCATTTTTTTAAATTTTTTTTTTTAAAGGCGGGTTGACAGAATTCACTTTAATGATTTTCCAGAAAAAAAAAGAATGTTATTTTTTGGGAACAATAGGTTTCCTTTAATACAATACTCTGAATATCAGCAGAAAAAATATATTTTACTCATTGTGATTCATAGGATCCCTTAACGATGAGGAGGACTCATCACCATTAAAAATCCTGTCTGAATCCTGTCTGAAAATACCTGGCTTTGATTTGTAAATGTGAACATTTGTTGGCCATTGTTCTTCTGATTAGTACTGTTCAATATCCACTACCTAACTAATTAACTACTGCTTCAGATAATTATGGAGGATTGACAATAGAACTGGAGGCCAAAAAAAAAATCAGTGCACCAAATTTTCCAGTAAATCAATGTCGACCAACATTATTCAATAATATTTTACTGTTCCCATAATTCTCAGTTTACTTAATAAAAGACTTTTGGTGCAACACATTTTTTTATTTTGCTTGTTTAGCTTTTGTGTGTGGGAGAACATAGAATCTTATAATATCAGCTCCAAAGATACAGAGTAAATACCTAAATACACAGTAAATAAGGATAGGAAAAGCAAGGAAAAATTATTGACTCCCAAAATAACCGTTCCCACTATTCATTTTAACTCTTTATTAAACAAATATACGAATGGTTACACTAGTAAAACCAGCCACATAGTATATAACCTGCTCTAAAATTTTCCTTACAGGGACTTCGTAGTGAAGAGGTCTCGATGCAGTGTCCCTTTCCTTCTAACCCTGCAGTGTAAATGTTAGTTTTTAAAAACTGCAATGTTTGTATGGTTAAATCAACCTGTAGTGACTGTCATACTGACTTCATTGGAGATTGGGAGGTGAGCAGCGCTGAGACTATCTGGAAAAAGGTAAGCAAAACTTTTAATAAATAAAAAAATAATGTTTATACAGATACAGATGTTTATACTCAATGCCCTTAGTGTAAAAAGGGCTGCTACAATACTTGTGAAAATCCCCCTGTGATCCACAGCAAACCAAGCACGATATTAAGTATATCGTTAAATAATTATTTGGTGAATTTTCACCAAATAAATGCATTAGTTTAGTGCTCAAACAGTATAATAATTGAACCGTTATTTTCCTTGGGGTTTCTTGTGATCATGTAAAACATAAAAAAACTAAATGTTAATAATAGTGCAATATTTTAATATGACAGAGGGATAGTGTAAATGAAATATATTTGTGAGTGATTCGACTCACATTAGGTAGAGCTATATTACTTGTTCTTTGTTTTTTATGCTTTACATGATCACCAGAAGCCACACATATAATAGGTGTTATGTTTATTATACTGTTTGTATTCTCTGCTCACACATTTATTTGGGGAAAGGTCACCAAACAAATGTAAAATGAAGTAAAATTTATCTTTTGATATGGACACTACAATGTTCGAAATATAGGTTTGTTTTCCCAATGCTATAGTGCTCCTTTAAGATTTATAACCTGGTTTAACACTTCCTTAGAACATCATCTGCGCACTTATTGGACAGCGCAGTGCGCAAGAAAGGGTCATGTCAATCCCAATCTGTTCAGACGCATGCAGAGATTGTGGGCTGCAATGATGAAAGTTAAATTTTGGCATTATATGTATGGGGAGCTAGAATGTACCTTGTGTGTCAAGTAAAGAGAGTCTCCCAAAATAAACCCTACACATATGGTAAAACATGCATGAATACGAGTGAATTATCATGTAAGAAAATACACAGATAGTCCACCAGGAAAAACATTGAAAACAAAATCCATAGAAACCTTTAAATATCATGTTTAAATTTATGCTTGTCCTAAGAATTATAACTCATTGAGTCGATATGGTCACTTTAGATTTGAAGAATTTTACCTGTATAAATTTTATATTCAGCTGTGGTTCATTTGGCATACACTCCCTTAACAATAAACTTTTTTATTCTATAGCGTATTGTCTGCAACAATTTCTAAAATGTAAATGACATCTGTTGATAATTTAAATACAATTCCTTTTTATTCTCCTTAAAATGTTACATTTGATATTATCCACTGCACACCAGGACAAAAGTTCTGTGCACAACAAACATAGAAAAATAAATTACTTTATATTTTTTTAATATTTTATTTTGAAAAGTATTGTTCCCTGGATGTTTTTGACTTGATACTTTGAGCGTTTGTTTTTTGTTTGTTATTTATTCACTATATTGCCCCACTCCACGCTATAATGACATGGTTCTAATAGGGATAATAAATTATTTACAGAGAAACAGAAATATATACCAGTCTTGCTTTTGTACATAAGCATTGTCACTGTATTCTTTCTTTGGTGAAACAGAGGGGTGTGCCAATTAAACAGTGAGTGGTGCTAAACTGACATGAAAACAAAATGAAAAAAAGGAATTTATGGTTATTTACATCAAATGCGTCAAACTTTTGCCAGAAATAGTCAAACTGGAAACACCGGTGATGTAGAGAATGTATTTTTTTAATTTTGGCTATTCTAACCTAAAATATAAAAATCACTTTTAATTAACCTTAAGAGTTGTAAAGGTTTTTTTCGGAAGCACTGTCTTGGTTTTAGTGTAGGAAAGTCAGTGTTTTTCAGTTCACTGCTGTTCGTTGCCTACTGAATAACACAAAAATTTGAGACTCTGCTACATATTACAAGTAGATTTGATGATTAAAGAGGTAAATATGTTTCACCCTCTTTTATAAGGTCTTATTAGATACATATTTCTGTGCTGAATCCAAAAATGTATAAATACCACAGAAAACACATTTTATCAGCATAAAGCAATATATAACCCACAAAGACTCATAAAATGTTAACAGAAAGGGTTACTCATTATTAATACTTTATATTGCAAATTATTGAAAATTTGTTGGGATCTACCACTTTACAAATTTCCGTTCATGAATATTCACCATAAGTCAAGTTTTACTATTGCTGCAATCTTCCATTTTGAAATGCTCACCAATGTCAAGGTCAATGTTGTCTTCCATTTTGAAATGCTCAATAATGTCAAGGTCAATGTTGTCTTCCATTTTGAAATGCTCAATAATGTCAAGGTCAATGTTGTCTTCCATTTTGAAATGCTCACAAATGTCAAGGTCAATGTTGTCTTTCATTTTGAAATGCTCACCAATGTCAAGGTCAATGTTGTCTTCCATTTTGAAATGCTCACAAATGTCAAGGTCAATGTTGTCTTCCATTTTGAAATGCTCACAAATGTCAAGGTCAATGTTGTCTTTCATTTTGAAATGCTCACCAATGTCAAGGTCAATGTTGTCTTCCATTTTGAAATGCTCACAAATGTCAAGGTCAATGTTGTCTTCCATTTTGAAATGCTCACAAATGTCAAGGTCAATGTTGTCTTTCATTTTGAAATGCTCACCAATGTCAAGGTCAATGTTGTCTTTCATTTTGGAATGCTCACCAGTGTCAAGGTCAATGTTGTCTTTCATTTTGGAATGCTCACCAGTGTCAAGGTCAATGTTGTCTTCCATTTTGGAATGCTCACCAGTGTCAAGGTCAATGTTGTCTTCCATTTTGGAATTCTTACTGTTTGTCATTTATTTTGTTTGGTCTTGATCCTTTTGGATTATATAAAACGGGACTCCCATCTATCTCTCAATTAGGTATTAGGCAAAACAGATGTTTAATGAAATCCCTAATAAATTGCTTTGTAAAATTCAGTGTTATTAGTCTAATGATATGTTAATCAGAGTGTAACCTCTACATTTGGCAAGATAATGGCCCTCAAGGACAAGTAGACAGAGCTGATATAAAACAAGCATGGTCTGGAGTTTTTAATGAGAATAAATATATACAGTATAATTACTAGTTTTTTTTAAATACATAACTACAATGAGACTATACAGTTTAAAGATTATTTCCTTTGTGTATTGTTTTTAAGTGTTTTTTCCTCTGAACAGTCTATCTTTGCATGTTAGTGCTGAGTGTTTGATACCCTAACATGGAATTGATAGTATTTAAGAATACCAAATAAAACTGTTTAGTGGATAGATCCTTAATATTATACCCTTTGGTGGATTTGCCAATATTTAAGGATGCCAAATTAGGGTGCTGTCTAGTAGATAACTAGCTAATTTGGTAACCTTATGTGGAATTTCCATATTTAATGATACCAAATAGGTGAGATATCTAACAAACACAACAGCTCCTTAATTTAGTATCCTTAAATATGGCAATCCAACATGAAGGTAGCAAGTTTATGAATTTACAAGAAATAATAATAATAATGAACGAACCTTGAATGGAAGAATTTTGTTCCTCACGCGATTAGTTCATTCTTCCATTCAGAGATTTGGAATTCGGACAAATGGATGAATTAACGGAATTCAATTCAATTCAATAATAAAAACTCATGTCTAGTGATACCTCTGCTTATCTCGTTAGTATTAAAGTGATTTTTGTTTAATTTCAGTTCTTCTGAAATTCTAAACTTGGCTTTAAACTAAAATAACTTGTTAGTCAAGTACCTGGGCCTCGATTTAAGATTTTCAGATAAGCTCTTCATATGATTTAACATTTTAAAAGTTTATCAAATTATTTTAAATCATTTGAAAACATATCCAAAAAATATTAAATCAAGGCCATTATAAGCAGCTCATGTTCATAGCTGCATCCCACACACCATGTCAATAAATGATCTCATTGATGAAATAGCAAATTGAATAAATATGTGTAAATTTGACTGTTATTCAATTCTACCATATTGTGGTTCTTTCAGGTAATGCAAAATTTGTCAGAATTTGCATTCATCAAATGTATAAATCAGCAGAGTTTTAAGTGCATCCAGTATTTATAGATTTAGATATGTATTGCGCATATGTATAAAAAAATCATTTTTTTTCAGCTATGTTCCACAGTACATGTACAACACAACATATCTATAGTGAAACACACATTGAAATAAATCCTTCACAGTATTTGCAACATGTTGTTTGTGGTGCAGCATTAAAGCACTGAAGCCCATGTATTTAAGAAAACAAGTTGATCTAGCACTGTGTTAAATTTTGTAATTTGGGTGTAAAAACTTTGACAGGGGATTAGAAGTTGCAGGGGGTAGAGTAAGCTGTAGTGGAGATTTTTCCCCAAAATATTTTAAACCAGGAATTTTTTTCCCACAATAACTAACACCAGTTCTCAACAAAAATGCAGATTTATAAACAAACATTTGATGTCTGATGGTCGAATCAATATTTTTTCCAATATAGAATGCTACTAGTTATATTATTATTATTAGTAGTAGTAGTAGTAGTATTTATATTTATGCCAACTAATTCTGCAGCCCTTTACAATATTATGCATTGCATTTTAAAAGACTGTTCAATATTATGGCAATTAAACCAATTCAATTGGTTTAGTTCAAATTTCTGAAGTTTTGTAGCTCTGAAGAATTTTGGCTTAGAAAAATTTGTTTTGGTCTCAAAATGTATTTTGGTTCGGAAATAATTTTTCCAGGGAAAACCTAAAATGAAGGAAACAAGTGCCTATGATGCCCTTTGAGTGAAATAAGAGATTTCAACTCAATTAGTGATTCGCAGTTGGTGTTAAGTGGTAGGGGCTACTAGCAGCATGACTAGCAGTAGCCTCACAAAAATAATTATGATGCTCTATTTATTCTGATAAATTTGGATTAGAATTCAGAAATTTGGAAATGCACTGCATGGACCAAAATCCGAACCTCCAAGTCTAGTTTGTGCTTTATTTGCAAATCAAAAATTATTACCTTTTAGTGTGCAGTCGGACATGAATGCACACAGGACTGACTGACAGCCCAATCAGTTTAAAAATGACACACGCCAATAGGCTGTGATTAAAGCCCTCTATTTAACCAGAAGGCTTTGTATATTTCTGCAAATGGCTGGGTTTAGCTACCCAGCTACCATGCAGCTCTGAGGTGTAAACCCCACAGGGCTTCCAGAGATAGTCGGTAAGTTAGTTCTCCTCTCTGACTGCGATGCAATAATAAAAGCCTTTAGAAAGCTCCCCTAGGAGTTCTGGCACGCTGTGATTGGCTGAGACTAAACCTAACAGATCTAATTGCAACAGGAGAGTCTACATCTGATGCAAAAGTCTATCAGATCGATTTACTAAAGGGAGAATTCAAAGTGAATTGAAAGTTAATTTCAAATTTAATGTCCGAGTAGCCAGACTGAAATCATAGCTGACTTTTTCCAGTTCAGCTATTTTGAACTTAAATGTGAACTTGACTTGGAATTCTCACATTAGTAAATAACCCTGTGTGTGATTTCCTAGCGGCCTCTATGGTCTTCTAGCCACCAACAGACTACTTAGACTATTTTACCTTAGTTTGTTTGCTTGTCTAAAATAGTTACAATGTTATGGAATACGGAATTCAGTTGAATTATTCAGATCATTAAAGGATTGAATTGACTAAACGATTTTAAATATATATTAACATTTTCTGCAAATGTAGCCGGTTTGTAATTTTCTCAAAACAGCATTAAATGTGATACTTTTCCATTATGTTTTATTTTATGTGTTAGCTTGTTGTAGTGGGATAGAGGACCTAACTACACTTGTATTCCCCTTGTTCACAAATCATGTTTGGGCTTGATTAGAAGATAGTGTTTGTCCCATTCTAACTATAATAAAAATGAGGCTTAATGATTAATCTGTGGATAGGTATTAATGTTTCTTTTGGATATGATACTGGAAAACAAGGCTAATGGCCATTAACATATAAAGGGACCCCCTATCTCAGAGGGAATCTAGACATATGGCTAACTAGAGTTAGTTTATATTTAAACCAGACTTCCAGGCCACTTATGTGTGACTTCTAACACCTTACAGAGCAGCTCTGTTGGGGTTCCAGCTTCAAAGAGGAATTTGGCTTGTAAGCTCTGACCTCCCATGGAATCAAATTATCCCTGTTTGAAAATTTATTTTTGGAGTGTTTTAGAATATTGTATATTTTTCTGTAGAGGACGCTGGGAGGAAAAGCCCTGTTGTTGTATGGGAGACCCCATGTAGGGGTCTGTGAATAAAAGCTGTGTGGTCAAAATAAAAGGAGTTGACTCCCAGGAATATGTGTCAGTTGCTGGGTGGAAAGTGTCTTGGATTATTACACTGTTTTTTTTTCACAGTATTCTTTAGTGCCGGCATTAGAAGCACACAAGGTATGTCTTGCTATCGCCTTACCTGGAAGTTAGTATTTACTGTCTGCATGTGTGAAATAAGAAGTACTTACACCCAGTGAGCTTAAAATAACATTAAATAGAAAAATCCAGCCCACAGAGTCCCAAACAGACCAGAGGGATATTATTTGAAACATATATATTTTTTTTCTTAGCTAAATTTTAAAGGTTTGTGAAGAAGACTTAATAAGTTTAGATTCAACATTATTAACACATCTTTACATTTCTTTCAAACCTTGCAATGTTTGATTGATGTTCCTGGTATAAAATGCTCTGGAAAATTACATTTACCACAGCTGTAAGTGGCTTTTTAGTGGTCACTAAGCTGCAAACATTATTAAAAGTGGCCCACCCCAATGAAAGGATCAACCCTTATACTTAACATTTTATGAACAATGTCCCACCCTTCCTCCAGGGAGAAGTTTAAGTTTGGTAATTGATATTATTAACTGTATCTTGAGTTTTTCATTAGGAATGTAGGATTTATGGTCCTTTTGCCAGATCGATGTCTCAAAGCTTTTTTTGTAGTATAGGAAAGCCGGCATCATTTTCCAGGACCTTCTGAGAAAGGTCACAAAAAGGTCTCTATTCTCTCCCTGTCCTCTGAAATGAAGTGACTGGCTTTAGAATGACTGCTGCTGGCACAGAATGATTTATCGTCTCTGAATGGAGACATTACACATCAGTTTGTGACCAGTCTATGTGAATGTCTAAACTCACTGCAGTTTGTAGCAACTGTGTTTATTATTTTACCTTAGAGTTGCTAGCATTCTCCTAAGATTACAGTTGAGAAACAATGATGTACATATGAGCTTGTACATTGTTACTAATGTTCTGGACGAGCTCTCTACCTAATTCCCCCAGGCTTTCAACTAGACAAAGCTTTTTCACATTTCTCTTGCACGTAGAGCACATGAATGGATCTTGTTGTCGCATATTTCAGTAGTATTGGGGAAGAAAAAGAAAATAAGAGATCGAACCAGTAATAATGGCAGAGTTGAGCTATGTTATCACAGCAAGCAGCACATTGCATATTTACTTGTGGCACAAAGCATGCTAGCTCTGCTGTATATATATGGTGGCTGAAAGAATGGAATATGTCCCCACCACAATCCATGACCTCTTGTGTCCTTGAATGGCCCTGTAATATATAAAATATAACAAGGTTTTGCTCAGATTGCCCCTAGTCATAGGACTCTAGTAATCATGGTAGTCATAGAGTTCTAGAGACATAGATTTTTGGTAGTTCTGTCATTACCTACACTCTTTGTGTTGGTTTATTCAAACTGGGTAGGATGTTTTGGCAGTCCTAGCTTTCTTTGGATAGGCAGTGTTTCCTAACTTCTAACTCTTTGAATGTT